ACTTCTTTTAATTATGTGATAATCTGGCTGACTAGATAAAAATCACAAAATGTTCCCATTATAGACATCTATAAACTATAGAAAGATATAATAAACATCCTTTTACATGCACAGATGAGACAAAAACAAAGCAAGCTTTGGCAACAAGTGTGCTGAGCGTCTGAGGTAACGTGGTAGCTTCCCCGAAGAAGTTTGTTGGACTAAAACATTTGGGTTCTTGAGTTTTAATGAGGCTGTGCAAAGCGGGGAAGTGGAACTTAAAGGTTACATACAGCTGGAAATCATAAGTGCTTAGACCTGTAATAAAAGTGTGAGTGAGTCAAAGCTCTGCCTGCAAGCACAGGTCGTGGACAGGAAGCATTTTGTGTTACCCATGACCCCAGGTTGGGCAAAACATGGCTCCCCTGGGCATTCCTTACTGTGACTCTGATTCCAAAGTTGAAGTGCTTAGTGAAAGCACACGTGAAACTGCTCTGGAGCGATTCCCCTCAACTTGCACCGCACGAGACAAGCACCAATAAAGTGCTACTGACTGAGTTCGAATAGAATTCCAGAATGCACAATGACAAAATCTTTAATTGGGAGAACCCAGAGCTGCAATAAAGAATAATAATTTTTTTAAAAAAATATTGAGGATAAGAGGATCATAAAATAAGCATGTTCACACAATTAAAAACAACCAGAAATTCAAAATATGACAATAAGATGTTTTTGAGAAAAAGAATAGTTGATTTGAAAATTGAGGAAAATAAAGGTACTGGAAAAGAAATATGGTACTTATACTTAAAATCTCAAGGTCTAAGTTAAAGGGCAGATTAGATCCAGCTGAAAAGAGCATTAGTAAATTAAAGGATAGATCTGAAGGGTTCTCCCCGAAGGCTGCATAGAGTTAAGAGATGGAAATACAAAAAAGTTTATTTTTTATTTTTTTTATTTTGGCATATTATGTGGGTACAGATTTTAAGGTTTCAATAAATGCCCATTTCCCCCCACAAGAAAGTTTTTGAGAGTTATAGACATCAGAATGAAAAGAACCAACATATTCCTAAAGGAGTTCTAGGAGAAGAGAATAGCTAGAATGTCAGAGAGATTAACTAAATCAATAATGGTAAGATGTTTTTACATGTTCCTGGATCTTCAGATTGAAAAATATACCAGGTGCCAAAGAAGATAAATAAAAAACACATTGGTGCCTAGACATATCTTGGTGGGACTATAGAACTATCAATACAAAAAGAAATATAAAAATGAACTAGAAACCAAATTCATAAAAAAGAGCAAAAAGTATGATCACAGACTTCTAAATAATATTTATGAATGCTAGAATAAAATGAGATAATACCTTCAATGTGCTGAAGGTCAACCTAACATTCTATACTCAGCTACTGTTCTATTATGAATAAATGCAAAATAATGAAAATAAAGGCAAAAAACACTGGAAGAGTTTACTATTCACACATCTTCACTGAAGGAGATATTGAAAGATGTACTTAAAGGAAAAGAATAATGAACTCTCTGGAAAGTAAATCTATAAGACATAACTGAGAAAAGAAATTGCTAAATATATAGGCAAAGAGCTAAATATGCAATGATGGTTTTAAAAACTGTTTAACTTGAGATTTAAAAAATCAATGTGTAGGTATAATATCAGATAGACAAAACATGAAGGATTGAAAGGAGAGATTGCATTAAAAGCATTTTATGTCCTTGCCTTTTTCAGGAGGAGGCTAGCGGCACTTTTTAGCTTCACTCATTTGAAGGGTATATGGTAGTCAGAATGATGTTCCCCCAAAGATGTGCATGACCTTAAATTAAGAGTCTGCTGTCCAGAACCAGTGCGCATGTTGTCTTACATGACAGAAAAGACTGTGAAGATGTGATTATGTTAAAGATTTTGAGATGAGGAGGTTATCTAGGTGTGAGAGAAAGAAGGGGGCATCAGAATCAGAGAAAATGATGGAAGCGAAGGTTGAAGTGATGTAATTGTTGACCTTGAAGATGGAAAGGGACCCGGAGTCAAGAAATGGGCAGCCTCTGGAACCTGGAAACAGATTCCCACTCAGAGCTCCCTGACACGATCGTACAAACACATTGGTTTCAGCCTGAGAAAACCCATTCAGGCGTCTGGCCTTCAGACTGTAAGTTAATAAATTTGTGTTGTTTTATGGAATTTTTACCACAGCAATAGAGAACCAATACACTGTACTTTAAAATGTAAAGGTAATAATACATCAAACACAATTTAATGTTACTTTCAAAGTAATAGCAGAAAAAAGGGAGATGAAAATAAAACTGATAGGAAGAAAGAAAAACAAAGAGGAAAAGAACAAAGAAATACAACTTGGTAAATTGAAATAACAAATAAGATAATAGATAAATCCAAATATGTCAATAATAAAATCAAAAAGGATTAAATTCACTTATAAAGATATTATATAACTAGCTTTTAAAATTTAAAACATATGCTATTTATAAGAGCCTCAGAGAAAATGAAAGCTGAAAGTAAAACAAAGGAAAAAGATATGCCAAGCAAATACTAATGCATTACTAACATATTAGTATTTAATATCATGCACAGTCAACTTTAAAAATGAATACTTAAGTGATAAATATAGTTTTTACACAATAATCAAAACAGTAATTCAAAATAATTTCTAAAAATTTACAATTAGGTACTTAATAACTTAGCTTTGAAAGAAACAAAGCAAAAAGTGGAATCATAAAGGAAACATAAAAAGCTTTAGAACCACAATGGAATTTTAACAATCCTTCCTCAGAAACACATAAAAAGCAATCCAAAACTGGTCATTCCAATGAAGAATTGTATACCTAAATTTGTAATAGCTAAATCTGATGAGCATGCATCGAACTCTGCTCCAAACAGAGAGTATCCTTTTCAAACATTCAGGGAACATTTACAAATGTATGTATAGGTGCTAAATCACAAATGCTGCTGATGGGCCAGGCAAGATATGAACTGAAAAATAATCATTATAATACAATTATCAATGTAGATCTCATTGATGAATCAGCAGAAGTATGTGCTTAATTTTTAAAGTTATATTTTTCATTTACGTTTCACATCCAGATCCTATAACTGAGGGATGAATTTTTTTTTAAAAAAGATAGTTTTCATTTCTCATTCACACACACAAAAATACCAATTTCAGTATCGTTTGTAATAGTAAAAGTGATATAGAACCTAAAAGCCTATCAATAGAAATTTGCTTATATTGTGATACAATATTAGCAGCAACAATAACAGCAACAGAAAAACCAACAAAACATCACCGCTAACTTTTGATAGCTTACTTGGTGCCTGGCATTGTTTTAAATGGCTTATGAAACAATGGCAATATAGCACCTCTTGTATTACCCTGGATAGAGCTGGAACCCATTCTACTAGGTGAAGTATTTCAGGAATGGAAAAACAAGCACCACATGTACTCACCAGCAAATTGGTATTAACTGATCAACACCTAAATGGACATATAGGCATAACATTTATTGGGTGTCAGGCAGGTGTTGGGGATAGGATGGGTATTTACATACATAATAAGTGTGATGTGCACCATCTGGGGGATGGACACGCTTGAAGCTCTGACTGGGGGGGCAAGGTAACATACGTAACCTAAACATTTGTACCCCCATAATATGCTGAAATAAAAAAATAAAACAAAATAAAATTAAAAAAACAGAAAAAATGCCTTGTATTTGTTAACTCATTTGACCTTCACAATGAACCTATGTTTTTAATGTTTTATATGTGTTAAATCATTTACACATATAATATCTACACATGTTGTAGATATTATAATTACCTCTATTTTTTAGATGCAGTGACTGAGGCGCAGGAAGTAAGTTGCCTAAGGTCATGTAACTCATAGGAAATAGATATAAAGTTTGCTTTCTTATAATCTGCCTACAAATCTCATAACTCTTAGTTATTAAATTCTCTTAAAGTATGTTCCATGGAATCCTCAGTAATTGGTAACAAGAAGGAAGTATTTTTAGGGAGTGCTCACTAAGATTTGGTGGTCAAATAAAAAGCAAAAATTACAGAATATTATTCACAGTTAGATCCCATTTATATAATAATAACTTCCTCATACCCTTATTAAAATGACTACCCTTATTAAAATGATATAAAATTTTGGTCAATCTTATATAAAATGTTATTTTATATAATTTATATTCTTCTAGTTATATTTATATAAATATTTATATTATTTTAAATTGTATTTCTTATGTTTAAATCTTCAATATGGAAATTAGTTCTGTGTTACATGAAGTAGAGATCTTCCAATTTTTTTTCAAATGGAAATTTTTATCCCAATACCAGATACTACTTTTTGGAATAAAACAATGAAATCCTATAAAATTCGGAACAAGATGGGATTTTGTTTTTGAAATATTATCTATGAAATGGGACAGCAGTGTCTAAAAATTATATCATAAATAAATTTGCCATAACATTGAATCTTCCATTTTCTTAGAATTAAAAATTAGTTAAGGCAGGGCGAGGTGGCTCACGCCTGTAATCCTAGCACTCTAGAAGGCGGAGGCGGAGGTGGGCGGATCGCTGAAGGTCAGGAGTTCGAAACCAGCCTGAGCATGAGTGAGACCGCCCCCCCCATCTTTACTAAAAATAGAAAGAAATTAATTGGCCAATAAAAATATATAGCCGGGCATGGTGGCACATGCCTGTAGTCCCAGGTACTCAGGAGGCTCAGGCAGGAGGATTGCTTGAGCCCTGGAGTTTGAGGTTGCTGTGAGCTAGGCTGATGCCACAGGCACTCACTCTAGCCTGGGCAACAGAGTAAGACTCTGTCTCAAAAAAAAAATAAAAAAATTAGTTAATCTTATTCTTAGTTTTATTAGATTTTTGGACACAAAAGTGTGATTCAATTTATCATATAACTATTAAAATGAATCACAGGATATCTATTATTTGTACAAAAGAATTTATTTTTACTTTGATTTTCTGTTTTTCTTTCAAGGAAAGATTTCTGTGTACACAAAGATGAACCATGTGATACCGTTGGTAAGTGTCTATAAAAATTTTACACTTTGGGGACTTCTGGAGCCTTTAACACATTACTTGTTTAGATATAGGAAAGTGTTACACTGGTTTTAATGAAATATTTTTAAATGTCAGAGTTACATGTTTTCTACTTATATGTTTAATCATTTGTCAATACTTCCGTTATGAATGAAATAGCTTAAAAACATGTATAAACTATGTATTGAGGATAATTTTTAAGTGATGCATTAAGGTTATCCTCAGTTGCTTTGTTGTTTCTAAGAGATATATGGGTTCAAAAAATTTTAGTATTATTGGTAACTCAAGACAAAATTTGTTAATGATATTATTATTGGCTATTTTGTTCTATACCTGATTTGTTTTTGAGTTATACATGCTTGAAGTTCTTCTCAGATTCTGTCAAAATAGTTTTGCCCAACTTGTGAGGATTTTTTTGTACATAAAGCAGCAAATTTGCCACATTTTGTATTGCATATCTAAAATCCCTAAAATGTAACCATATAGCCAATCAAATCCACGAACCCACAGTTCTTCTAATTTTGATAGAATGTCACATATATGCTTAGATATCTTAAAAATGCATCTATATAAATATAAATTTACCTACCCAAATATAACCAAATATTTTTGTATATATATATGTATATTTTAAATATTAAATCATGTAGTTGTATGTAAAAAAGGTGTTTTCGGTAAGGCATATTTAAGACATTATCTGATTTTAGCATATAATGTGGGGTTCATTTCTATAGGGAGGGAAGTAGTTTAACATAACCATTTTTGGGGTGTCATTTGTTCTTTGTAAGGTGAACAATGAGTAAAAGAGATAGTATCAGAATATAAGGTTAGGAGCATTTAAAAAATAATTCCAACTAGTTCCATTAACTTAAGTTTTCATCAACCTCTTCATATGTTTAAAATCTTAGGTAACAAGATTTTCTTTTCTTTTTCCTGCGTGAATCTCCAGAAATTAAAACTTGACATATAGTTTTCATCTCCCTAGCCATGGAAGCTCTTGATTACCAGTAAAGCTTTTACCTTTTCTTCTGCTTAAGCAGCTATGTTGCCCCTAAAAGCCTTCTTTAATGGGGACAGATCAATATCCTGCCTTGTCCAAGCACAGGAGAGAAGCCAGCAGCTCAGGCAGGCTCTCCCACACCCACCGTGTGGCCTGCCTCCGTGTGGCACACATGCAGACGGTATGTGAGGAGAACCGATTTGTCTTTTGATTATGATTTTGTGTCACATCTTGCTAAATCTGCAAACTGAAAATAGCATATATATGTGTGATATCTAGTATCCATAAAATATATTTTCTAATTTAAAGCATATTTGAATAAGTAAGTACCACAATGTGTCTGACAATCAGAGCATGTAAGGTTAGGCAGGAAAATGGTATAGTCAGTTCTCAGCTCTTCTGTCCCGTCCATTAGACATAAAGGTTATAAGGCCAGTTCTAAATATTTCGGTGGCGTAGGGTTTGGAAAGTCCCATGCCCTCCTGAATCTCTTCGTATTTCTGAATCCTTAGGTTCTTGTGGTCACCTGCTTGGTAAACTAAAGTCTAGTTCTACCCTCTGCATCTTATGACAGTTCTTTTTCCCAGCCCAAATATAGACAAAGGGTTTTTCCTATGTAGTCTTGAGCAGAGTAAAAATCTGAAATATTCCTTCAAGACAGATAACAACCAAGTCAGAGTAATCTCTTTCTCCCAAACTCTACAAAACCTTTCTTGTCACACAATTGTGCTATCTAGAGTCATATATAGTTTGCCCTCCATATCCATGAGTTCCATATCCCTGAATTCAACCACCTGAGGATGGAAAATATTAAAAATACCAGCTTCTCTGGAGGCTGAGGTGGGAGGATCACTGGAGCCCAAGAGTTTGAGACCAGCCTGGGCATCATAGTGAGACCTTGCCTTTAAATAAATTGAAAAAACTAACTGGGCATGGTGGTGTACGCCTATCGTTTCTGCTAAAAAAATTTAAAAATTAAAAACAAAAATAACAATACAAATTAAAAAAGAATACAGCATAACTGCTATTTACATAGTATTTACATTATAAACACTAGGTGTAAATGTTAGGTATTATAAGTTACCTAGAAATAATTTAAAGTATATAGGGGAATGTACATAGAATATATGCAAATATCCACCATTGTATATAAAGGACTTAAACATCAACGATTTCTGGTGTCCAGAGGAGTCCCAGAACCAATCCCCTATTAATACCGAGAGATTTATGAGATTCATGCGACATTTGTGAGAAATGGACACTGAGCTTGCCACCCTCCCCCTGCACCCCCGCTGTGCAGCTGCTGTGCTGGGGCAGGGAAGGCGCTCCCAGGGATGGGCGCGGTCCGCTTGTCCTAGGAAGGGCCATTTTAGAACCCCAGGCCTGAGCCAGCAGTACATGGCATTGCCCTGGCTGGGGTACATGATCTGTTTCCTATGCTTGCCTCATTACGCTGAGGAAAGGAGCATTTTCAGTGGTTAGATTTCATTCATGTGTGTCCTCACTGGATGTAAATAAGGAAGAATGCAACCCAGATCACTAGACTCACAAAGGAAACCAGCCTGGGGTGAGTCTGCCGCAGGAACTGCAGAAGTGGAAGGCGCCCTCCCCCATGGCATCGCTGGGTCATGGCAAGCGCCAGCCCTGGCCCAGAGTAAGGGTTGGGTTTCTGGATATGTGGGCCGGTATGTGCTTATTATTTAAGGCAGTTTGAGGCTTTTACGTTATTTGTAGCCTAAGGCATATAAATCTTCCCTGATGCTCATTTATTCATTTATGAAAAAAAAGAAGACCATGAAGCAACATTAATAACTTCTCTACTGTTATTAAAAGAAAGTGCAAGTATATTGCTCTGTGACTTGCTAAAAAAATTAAATGACGTTGTATTTAGCTTATCAGTCATCTTGATAGCTATTAATCTCTAATATAACAAAGCGAAAGGGATTTAGTGTTCAGATTAATCAGTAATGTGTTTATTTATACACATTTACAATCTCCTCATATAATATGAAAGCATGTATTTTTTGTCAGATGCTTTTCTTAAATTATTGTGTGCCTTTTTCCCTCTTTTATCTATAACTGATGTGAAGTCCGACCATTTCACTTGGAATACTATAACAAAAAACTGAGAGAGGAAAGAGAAAGGAAAGAAGTGAATTTAGTAATTATTAATTTTTATAAATGAGGTGGAATGATAACTTTAAGACAATTTTCCCTACTCTCCTAGGTATAGTACAGCACTTACAGGCTTTGAATTTATATTACTCATGTGAGTTGTAAGTGGAGATAGACGCCTGTATTTTAAAGGCAGTGCATTTAAAAGATTCATGCTTTGTGTTATAATTCAAACAGTACTTTCATGGACATTATCCCATTTATTTCTCTCAAAATCTGAACTCTTTAGTATTATTATCATTATTATTTTACAGATGATGAAACCTCTGAAATAGATTGAATGCATCATGAATTTTGAACTCAGACATCTAGAGTTAAATCAGGGTCCTGTTGTTTGTTACCTGTGTGAATGTGGGCACATTATTTAACACCTCCAGCTTGGACTCCTCACCTTTAAGGTAGAGGCTTCGTTGTCTACCCCCAGGAATGCTGCAACACTGTGACAACTGCACAGCCAGGCTGTTAATTGGCCCTGGGCAAGCACCAGCTGCCGCCGTCCCTCTCGTTCCCTGCACTCTGGCAGCACGTAGAGTCAGCTTTCCTTCATAACATGACACGTTTATAGTAGATAAAAATAGAGCTAGAAAACTGAATATGAGGAAATTATCTTGGAATGATGTTATAGAATAAAATTGGAAATGGCAAAATATAAACTTGGAAATAGCTTTTATTTACTAATATTTTAATTTTAAAACAAGATAATTTGTTCATTTGCTAAGTCAAAAGGTTTGTGCATTTTAAATGAGTTGAGCTAGATAAATGTTATGGAATTTATAAACAAGTGCTTCATTTGATAAATTGTAGTTATTTATTAAGCTTATATTTGAAAAGCTACTTAAAAGGTAAAAAGTAAAAATGATTTTACCACTCCCTCAATTGCACCCTTCTTCCTATTTATTTAGTTAGGTAGATGATTTTGTAAGTTGGTAGGTGAATATATAACATTGGAAGAAAACAACATTATTAAATGTTTTAATCCATAAGATACTGATTTTAAAATATGTATGTGTTCACCTTTTAACATCTCTGAAATTTGGATTCATTTTGTGATTAATGGCTTAATAGAATTGTGTCATAATTTAATTCAAAGGTTTTTAAGTTTCAGATTGGATGGACTATGGTGGCATACTTAAATTTCAGAAGAAATAAAGTGTAATTCATTATGCAAGTGACAACTATCTATTTGCTGCTATTGCTAGTGAAGTTGCCTTACTTTCTAATGGTGCCCCAAAATGTACTTGGCCTAATCCCTGGAACATGTGAAGATGTTAGGTTAGAAACAAAGAGGAATTAAGGTTGTAGGCAGAATTAAGGCCGTCAATTAATTGACCTCACTTAGTATGGGAAGATTATCCTGGCCTGTCCTGGGATGCCCAGTGTTATCACAAGAGTTCTTAAAAGCAGAAGAGGGAGGCAGAAAAGTTCTGAGTCAAAGGGAGATGGGATTACTGAAGAAAGGCACAGAGAGATGCAATGTGGAAGGATTCAGTTCACCATGGATGGTTTAAAGAAGGAGGAGGGGCCATTAGTGAAGAAATATGAGTCGTCTCTAGAACATGGAAAAAGCAAGGACATTAGCATCTTTCCTAGAGCCCCCAGAAGTGAGCACTGAGAGCCCTGCCAGCACCTCGATTTTGCCCAGTTAAGTCTGTGTCAGGCTTCTGACCTGGAGAACTACAAGAGAATAAATTTGGATGCTTTAAGCCACTAAATTTGTGATCATTTTTACAGCAGCCATGGAAAATCATCGCACTTACTAATAAATAACGCCCCCCATCATCTATAGAGAAGAAGTAAAGAACCTGGT